AGTGAAAACTCCTGACAACTTGGCAGCAGGCACTAAACCCAGCCATATAATGTTAGTCTAAGATGGACTGGATACATTTCATAATGCCTTTCTGTGCCAAATACCTGTAAGGAGAACCACCCTGCTCTCCTTACTGTGAAGTAACTAGATTAAAAACAAACACAAATGATCTCAAGATAAAAAAAAAAAAAGAACCAAAAACTGTGTAGAAACGTTAAGTTTTTAAAATTAAACAAAATAGATTAAACTTACCATTTAACCTTGATTCATCTAAAAAACAGATTATCATGTGGTTTAATTAATTAATATACAACTGACTTTCAAATACAACATGATGTTAATCTCTAAATAATCATTTTATGTAGATACTTCTCAGTATCTCTATATTCTGAACATCTTTATTAGAGAAAGCCCACATATGATTTATTTTCAAATCAAGGTTTCAAAAACCACAAAGACTTGCTAAAGTTTTTAAATTTCTTCGTGGAACAAGAATCAAATTATTGCTTTTAAACTGGCATTCTTTTTTTATTACCCTATTAACCTATTTGCCTTCTTATTTCAAGAAGGTTTTTTTTTCTTAATAATTAGAAAAAAACCTTCATGGACAGAAGAGTCTTATTAAGTTACTTTATTTAGTTTGAATAATCTTAATAGACAGAATTTTTTTTGAAAGCCAACTCATAACATAAACTTCGTTAACTCAGAGCCCAGGGTTATATCTAGTGGTTTAGTATCCAGGGGCCCACAGAAATAGAAGTAAGCCAGTATTAAGTACCAGCTCCCCCTCTGTAATGCCACCAAAAGCTTACTTAGATTTCAAGTGGAGTCCCAAGCTGCTCTGCGGGTGTGACTCACTGCAGAGCTCCAGACCTTCTGGCTTCTGGCAGCAGCAGTGTGTTGAAGAAAGTTGTGCTGGGAAGGTTATACAAGAGATTCATTCACAGTAGACCTGAGACTTGAGAGACAGCACGTAGGCCAGAGGAGAAATGGGGAGTGTTAAAATCAATTTTGTCATAGTGAAAACAGAAGGGCCGAGCTATTCTTTTGAAGACAAACTTTTAGAAGGGGAACTTAGAAATCTTTAGACAGAGACAAAAAAAATTCAATTTTAATTGGTAAGAAAGTTATTTTGTGGTTTTGAAATAACCAGGCTTGGGTCCTTGTTTTCCTTAAAAATTCATTTAGTCTTTCAAGACTTCCCAAGAAGCCCGGAATTTAAACAGATAGAGGAATCTTTATGTGTAATTGTTTACAGCCAGCCTATTTATACTGAGATTTGAAGATATGTATTCTTTGCCTGGTGCCAGAAAAACTGGAGTCAGTAATACCTACCCTGAGCTCCCCCTCTTGCACACACCCCAGCCAGCAGGCTGTTTACCTTCCCTGGCTAATAGAGAGAGGAAGTTCCCAGTGCATTTTCCTCCCTTCAGTGTGGAAGCTGTAGATAATGAGGCTGAGAAGACAGAGATCCTGATGTGACATTACCACCTCACCACCGTGGCCTTACAGTGACACTGGTTTTGTGTGCCAACTTTATACAAGCTGGAGTTATCACAGAGAAAGAAGTCTTCCTTGAGGAAACGCCTCCATGAGATCCAGCTAGAAGGCATTTTCTCAATTAGTGATCAAGTGGGGAGGGCTCATTGAGGGTGGTGCCATCCCTGGGCTGGTAGACCAGCTGGTTCTATAAGGAAGCAAGCTGAGCAAGCCAGGGAAAGCAAGCCAGGAAGTAACATCCCTCCATGGCCTCTGCTTCAGCTCCTGCTTGCTGATCTGCTTGAGTTCCTGTCCTGACTTCCTTTGGTGATGAACAGCAATGTCGAAGTGAAAGCTGAATAAACTCTTTCCTCCCTAACTTGCTTCTTGGTCATGATGTTTTGTGCAGGAATACAAACCCTGACTAAGGCACGAACAGTTTTTGGTTTTTGTTTTGTTTTGTTTTGTTTTGTTTTGTTTTGTTTTGTTTTTATAAGTAGACCCACACAGACAAAAAAAGTAAAAGGAAGTAAATAATTAAGGCACATGACTTTCGTAGGGGTTTCTGAGCAACTGAAGATCAGAAGAAAGGGACCATATAGTACTGGAGTTCCCACCCCTAATGGTCCTGTCTCTGCATATACCCTGCTCCAGGACCCCTCTCCTCTGAGACAATAATACATACCTATTTTTCTAGAATTCAATGCTTCTAAACCTCAAACACACTGTCAAGGTGTTTCTTTCCTCAGTGACATAGTCTAGTTGAATTTAAATTCCTTTTGTTTCTTAGTTCTGCTAAAATTTTAGAGCCTGTAATTTCATGCAGCAGGAAGAACCCTCTGCAAGCTATGCCATAAATTGAAATCTCTCCAGAGATTCCTTTTAGGAATAAACAACTGCCCCTAGAGGCTTTGCAGGTGTGGCTACTGAGCCACACGTGTGTCCGCGCTGAGAGGAGGAAGGCTACATCTACGCTAGGTGTTCTGATCTGTGAATGTCAGAATGATTAGTGCCTGTCTTAGTTAGGGTTTTACTGCTGTGAACAGACACCATGATCAAGGCAACTCCTATAAGGACAACATTTAATCAGGGCTGGCTTACAAGTTCAGAGGTTCAGTCCATTATCATCAAGGCACGAGCATGGCAGAATCCAGTCAGGCAAGGTACAGGAAGGAGGAGCTGAGCTCTACATTTTGTTTTGAAGGCAAATAGGAGAAGACTGGCTTTCAGAGAGCTAGGATGAGGGTCTGAAAGCCAAAGCCTACAATGGCACACTTACTCTAACAAGGCCACACCTACTTTAACAAGGCCACACATCCTAATAGTGCCACTCCCTGGGCCAACCATATTCCAGCCACCACTGTAGCCTAACATTCCCTGAAAAACACAAGCCTGAGATGACTAGCAGTCAAGTGCCAACGGGCCCAACAGGGAGCTAGCCTGAGACAACTACCACAGTCTGGTGCTGTGCAGGTTCTGGGCTTGAGTGAGCCTGAGACAGACACTCAGACAAGCCTGTGCAGGAGCAAACCAGAGGGGGCCCAGACAGGGAACTAGCCTGAGATGACTACAAGTCTGGCATGGCATAAGCATGGGAGGGATGACCATGCTTGAGATTACCCCTGCCCAGTGCCATAATGCACAAGCTGGGCATAGCACATCTGAGATCATTCCTGAGGTGACCACAGACACTCAAGAGACCCTGGGTACCACCAAGAGGAGCAAGTGCATGATATAGAAATGGTAGAGAAAGAGAAACAGAAGGATGTGGGCACAATGAAGAGAGGAAGAACTGGAGACTCAAGGGTAGTGAGGAACAGCTGATGTGAGTAGCCTGTGATGACACCTGGGAACATGGTGGGGTCCTGGCCTGTGCTGCCACTGGGGACACATTTAGGTACATGGTCCTGCAGCAGTATCCGGAGTCTCTTACTACCAAAGGTCAGGCAGACATCCCTTGTCTGAGCTGCTGCCTGGGAAAATATGAATGACTGAGTGCTAGGCTGAACTGACCCTACCCTCACCTGGGCATCATGAGAGAGCTGGTCCTGGGGGCTTAAGAGCAGGAGAGTTGACCCTGGCCCTAGCCAACTGTAGTACTTGGGAGAATGGCCCAGCACATTGCAGAAGTTTTAGGTAAGATAGTCCCAAGAGGATGAGCAGGAGAGCTGGCCCTGTCACTCATTTCCTATGTGGTGGCATAGACAAGAGAGATACACTCCTCCCCACTTGCACCTTTGGCAGACTGGAGACCTGGCCCTGGGGTCATGAAAGCAGGAAAGCTGGCCTTATACCTTAGCAGCTGTAGTACTCAGTAGAGCAAGCAAGCAGGCCCCAAGGCATGAGCATGGGAGAATTGGCCCCATCACTTGTTGCTGTACAGGGACATGGGTGAGGGGGTGATGCAACCTCCATCAGGAAGGAGAGCTGGCCCTGAGGTCATCGGAGCAGGAGGGCTGACCCTGCCCCTCACCTACTGTAGCACTCGGGAGAGCAGGGCCTGCACTGTGCCTGGGCAGCACAGTAGAGCTGGACCTAGATGTGGGGGTTGCAGGCCCCAAGGGCATGGACACAGGAAAGCCAGCCATGCTTCATGACAGCTGAGATGAGGAAAAGATGACCTCCTCCCCTCCCTTGTCCCTCACCACCTATGGCAGGTAGGAGAGCTGGTTCTGAGACCATGAGAGTGTGAGAACTGGCTCTGCCCCTTGCTGGTTTCAACACTCAGGAGAATAGGCCCTGCACCTCATCCTGGCAGCAGGGTAGAACTGACCTTGTTTGTGGGGGGTTGCTGATGAGCTGGCCCCAAGGTAGTGAGAGTGAGAGAACAGGTGGGATGACCAGCTCAGAAAGCTCTCAGGCCCCAACCCAGGGCTTTGACTTGACCCACCCCAACATCTACTCCATTGATGAACTGCTGAACTTCATGAAGGCACTGGTCCTACAGATCCAAAACTACAGGATCTCCATGACATAGGGCAACAACAGGATAGCCAAGAGGAGTCCCAACAAGGTTCCACTATTGATAGAATAGCAGAAGCCAGAGGGCTTGTACCAGATCAGTGAGTCATTGCAATGAACATTTGCAAGCAAAGAAGTATAGACAAAAGGATATACTACTAATTCCAGACTAATACTTTTTTTTCCTCTGTTGTGGGAGAAGTTGCAAGGATGGAGGATAGGTATGAGGGGAGGGGGAGGGAAGGGAGATTGGGGTGCATGATGTGAGATTTACAAAGAACTAGTAAAAAGATAAGAAGGGAAGAAAGAAAATACCCACATCAGTCTTGCACAGCCTTGTTATAAAAAAAAAAAAACTTTAGGGAGGAAAAAGGTTGTTAGAGGGGCTGGAGAGGTGGCTTGGTGGGTCAGAGGGGTCACTGCTCTTATCTAGGACACTAATTCCATTGCCAGCACCCAGGTGGTTCACAATCAAAGACAGCCCCAGCTCCAGGGGATTCAGTGCCTTAGACCTCTGTAGTCACCAGCACACATATGCACAGACCCACACACATACTCATAATCCTTTTTAAAAAGTATTTTTAAAGTTCAAAAATAATGTCTTACAGAAGGCTGCTAGCCAAGAAATTAGATTTTTAAAAATACTTATTTTTAATTATGTGTATCATGCAAACACTAGGACCAGAATTGGGATTACCAGAAACACACACAAATACCAGGGAAACACAGTAGCCCTCATGTAATTCCATCCTGGGAGGATGGAAACAGGGCATCTTCAGTGCACAAGACTAGCCATACCAATCAGCTCTAGGTTTGATTAAGACCCTGCCTAAATGTAAAAGGAGGATGATTCCCAACAGCAACAGAAGATAATATAGAATACAGCTTCTTTAATATGTGTGTGTATACACACACATGTTACATATTATTATATTATATATAATGCAATAACTTGCTTCTTACAAATAAATTATAATTAAGAGCTCTTACATTGTTTTCTTTTTTTAATTGGATATTTTCTTTATTTACATTTCAAATGTTATCCCCTTTCCTGGTCCCCCTTCCAGCCCCCTATCCCACCACTCCTCCCCTGCTTCTATGAGAGTGTTCCCCACCCATCCACTCCTGCCTCTCTGCTCTGGAATTCCCCTACACTGGGGTATCCAGCCTTCATAGGACCAAGGGCCTCTCCTCCCATTGTTGCCCGACAAGGCCATCCTCTGCTACCTATGCAGCTGGAGCCATGGGTCCCTCCATGTGTACTCCTTGGTTGATGGTTTAGTTCCTTATTGTTTTCTAAAGGCATAGAACACTACTCAATTCTTTTCACAATGTCTCCCTCCTAGCTTAGGTTAGAGATTTTCAACTACACATTTGTGTGTGTGTGCGTGTGTGTGAGTAATACCAAAACTTGATGTGTGTGCACAGTTTTCTATATAGAAAGTTAAGAATTATCATGAGTCTCACAAATACAAGAATCCATACCCTAAGTAATAGGAACTTGGGCCTTGACTCTCAGGACTTCATGAATGTCCTTCATGGAGCCAAATACTGGCAGGTCAAGCAAAATTTATTGAATTTACCTTCAAATCATCCATTTATTTCATCAGTGCAACTAGTGTAGGACTTTCACTTGGCAGTTAGTAAATGATTATTGAGTTTCTACTAGGTGCTCATCCCCACGCTATATGGTGGGAATGTATGTCCCATCCTCAAAAAAACTGCCACTCCTGGGAGGTGGAGAACAAATAAAAAGAATAATGTATACAGTATCTAGTGTAAGTTGTGGAGAAATTAACTGTAAGGATGCATTTTAAATATTTGAAGCTGCAATTGAAATATACAGTTCACCTTAAATTACCCCTTCTGATCTTGCACAAAACCTTTTAACATGAGCAAAGTACACTTTGTTCAATCTAGTAAATATTTATTAAGCACCTAATATGGGCTTGTCACGATGCTCAATGCTGGGGAGAGGCAGAGATAAGCATGTTGCTGTTGGAAATTATTGGCAGGGCTTAGAAGCTATCATTTTCTGTAGGAATCCCTCAGGACTGGGTTGGGGGAAGTTTTCCATCTCTGATCATTCTAAGATAGGATTATCTTTATTTATGCATATGAGTGGCTTTGCCTACATGTAAGTCTGTGTATCATGTTTATGCCTAGTGCCCATGTATGTCAAAAATGAGATTAGTATCCCCTTGAACTGGAGTTACAGGCAGTTATTAGTTATCCTGTGGGTGTGAAATTTGAACCAGGATCCACTTCAAGAACAATAAGTGCTTTTTAACTGCTAAGCTGGATCTCTGGCCCCAAGGTGGACAGCTCTCTATTGCATCTGTCTCTTTTCTACTTTGTTATGAACTCACTAAAAGAACAACCTGAACCTCAGGTGCTCATTATGTGACTGTTGGCTCTGTTTGTGCAGATGGGCTGACTGAAGAGACCATGCATGCCCAGGGTCTTCTCTAACCAAGACTGAATAGCAAGAAATAGACTAACTAGAATTTTCCTCTCTTGAGTTACTTTATGAATTGTTGCGACACAATCCTGACAGAAGCAGTTTAGGGAAGGGAGAGGTATTTTGTCTCGTGATAGTATAGTTCATCATGAGTGATGGAGAAGGTCTAAAGGCAGGAGCATGGGGCAGCTGGTCACATGGACTCCGGAATCAGGAGGCAGAAAGCAATGGATGTAATGAAGGCTGGTGCTCAGCTGGTTTTCTCCTTTTACTCCAGGACCCCAGTCCATGAAACACTTCCATCCACATTCAAGGACTATCTTCCCACCTCAAATAACCCCCCTAGAAACACTCTCACAAATGTCCTCTGAAGTTTGTCTTCTTGGTGATTGTAGATGTGGAGATTTCCTTAGCCATCACAGAAATTCTTTCAAGTTGAGGACAGTATGACTGGCTCTGGTCACCATCAGAATCAGTAACTGTTGTCATGACATGAGATCTGAGCTGCTGTAAGGAATGTCTTCATCAAGGCCATTCTTTGGAAGGCAAACTACTTAGCATTTTATTAGCCAAGAGTCATTCTTCTCAAACCTCTCCCT